TATCATTTGTAAAATTATATTTACATTAATAAATTACAGCAAGGATCAGGCTGCATGTACAGTAGTGGTGTTAGAGGAAAGATGTGATAGACTTACCTGCCGTTAGGATTGTGCTGGAGAGTTTGAGGATAGATCTCACAGCTGCCCATGTCCTTCACTGCCAGTGGCAGCCTCTCGCCATCCTTGATCTCAGCATCTCCCATGGCTTTGAGGTTAGCCTGCTGAATCTCAGAGTGTTTGGCCCAAATTATCTTTCCGTTGGCATCCATTGACATGGCTGGCTCCTCACGACCAAGCTAAAACACAAATATAAACCGATAAATTACAAAGAACTGTCCACATAAGATATTACATTATATAAAGCTTGTCAGAATATTAGTAAATGTGCATTGAAGTAGATAGGAATATCATGTACACTGGACATCTAAAACTTAGAGAGAAAAAAAACGGCTGCATTTATTTGAGAAAATACAGTAAAAACAGTAATATTGTGTAATACTATTACAATCTAAAATAACCATTTCAATTTTAATTTATTTTAAAATGTGATTATTCCTGTGATGGCAAAGCTGAATTTTCAGCAGCCACTACTCCAGTCTTCAGTGTCACATGAAATCATTCTTATATGTGGATTTGCTGTTCAAGTAACATTTTGAACTTCTTGAAAATAGTTATTATATGCTGTTATTTTTGTGAAAACTGTGATACTTTTTTTCTGGGATTCTTTGATGAATTGAAAGAACAGCATTTATTTGAAATAGAGATCTTTTGTAACATTATCTATCACCGCTATCCCCTGCTGACAGCCCTGGCCCTGAAGCAACCTAATGGCTCCCTTGTTGCGAGGAGTGAACTTTCCTATTATCAGCCTGAGCTTTAGCCAGTATTTCACACCACTGACAGGCAACAGCGTGGTGTTACTTTTGAATTATTTTCAGTACCTTGATAATGATGCTGCCTTCGTCATAACCCAATGCCACATTGTTGGAGCCGCGCAAGCCGGACACACACCACACCCGCTCCATACCATAGTTCAGGGTGCTCTCTAGACGGTAAGTGCTGGAGTGCCAGATACGAACCGTGCCTTAACAAAAGACAGTTACAAGAAGCTTTAAAGGTCAAGTGTTCATTTTTAATTTGAAAATAATTTATACTAGTGATGGGAGAACCAAAGCTTTTCAAACTTCGAATCAACTGGACCAATTGCTTCGCAAAATGATTCACTCAAAAAACACAACACACACGCTAGTGACCACTTTTGTCAAAGTGTAAATGCCTTGAAAATTCAGCCCAAACATCCATAAACACCTTTTTAAAAACCAACTGTAAATGTTTTATTGAAGGTGTAATCTTTAACAAATCATCTAATCCCATTAAATATAAAGTGTCTTTATAATTTTATTTTATTTTTATTCTATTTATAGGGACTACAACTCTTCCTTTATATCATACAAATGTATCATGTCTACAAGTTTGTATGATATCAGGTAAAAAAATCATATTTAGACACTGGTCCACAGAGATCGCCCCTAAAGGCGAACCATTTAAATTTCGATACATTATGAAACATTTATGCCATAACCAAGCCTCATTTACTGAAATCACGTGACTTCGGCAGTTTGATACGTGCTTGGAATCACTGGATCAAAACTAACTATCAAAGCATTATAAAGTATTGTTTTAAAAGCACCCATCACTTTATTCAATCCCAGTTTAATGTACAGGGACCACTGAAAGATTTTTGCTTTCAAAATATTGTACCGTTATAAAAAAAATAATAATTTAAACATTTGCATAAGGAATGAGGCAGTACAGTTTTATAAAAGTGATCGTTAAAAGAAAATCTATAACATTCTCCTAAAGGTGACTAACCATCCTCTGATCCAGTGATGATGATCGGCAGCTCTGGGTGGAAGTTTACACAGGACACATTCTGAGCATGACCCTCAAGAGTCTGGACACATGTCTTATTCTAAAGAGAGAGAGGCAGAACAGAACAGATGTAAATAAATAGCCAGGAATGACTTGCTCTATTGATTATCATCAATTTCATTATAGTACCTGATAGTCCCAAATCTTAACCAGTCTGTCATCAGCTCCAGATATGAGGTAGGGTTTATCTCCTCCACTGTAATAATCAATGCAGTTCACCCCCTTATCATGACCCTCCAGAGTAAAGTTAGGAGAGGAAGAGCCCAGCTGCCAAACCTGAAACACAACAAAGAAGAAATGATGCGGGAGATGTCAAGTCAGATTCAAAATGGCTCTATCCGCATAAGTGTACTAACTTACCTTGATGGTTCTGTCCAGCGATGCACTCGCAAACTGGTTGTTGTCCTTGGGGTTGATGACAATCTGCATGACGTAGTGTGTGTGGCCCTCAAATACCTGACTGCAGGACCATTTCTTCTCCCAGTCCCACAGCTTTATCAACATGTCATCTAAATGCACACACAGCCAATAAATGTTAAAACAAAGAGTTTTGTACATAAGCCACTGTTTAAAGGTTTTTTTTTTTTTTTTCCAAAAATAAATTTCTTATGCTCATCAAGTATGCATTTATTTGATCAAAAATAGTAATATTGTAAAATATTAAGACAATTTAAAATAACTTATCCATTTAATACATTTTAAAAAATGTAATTGATGGCAAAGCTGGCATTATTCCAGTCTACAGTTTCATATGATCCTTCAGAAAACGTTATAATAAACAGATTTGGTGCTCAAGGAATATTTTCTTGTTATCAATGTAGAAATCTGTTGTGCTGCTTAATATTTTTGTGGATATAAAAAGAAAGTTCAAAAGAAAAGCATCTGTCCATACCACTGCTTGTGAGGATGTAGGGCTGGGTGGGATGCACAGCAATGCAGCGAATGTAATCTGAATGGGCCTCAAACATGTGTACTCGCTCTAATGTGTTGTAGTTAAAAACTCGAATTTGCATGTCATCCTAGAAAAAAAAAAGGAGGATTTATTAAATAGTTTAATATCAGTACCAAATCTATAATAAAAGGAATAGTATATTAATAGATATTATAGAATAGTGTACATTATTATTCATGTATATACTTACAGCACCAGTTATGACCCAATTTTTCCTGGCAACAAACTTGGCAGCTCTTACTGGCAGGTCACAGACTTCAAACGTCTTAACCAGAGTCTATTAAAAGTATAAGAGATTATAAGACAAACATTAAACACACTTAATGCTCTACTGGAGCCCTACTGTTTGTTGTAAAGTTCAGATGGTATTAAAAATGCTGAAAAGTTTCCTACTTACTTGCGTTTCATGATTCCACACACAGACACTGCCGTTGTACAGACTGGCCAGCATCCATGGCTCAGATGGATGAAGGTCTACGCTTTTGACACGGTCAGATCGAGCCGTGAGTTTGCGCTTGATGTCCAGCCTAAGAGGCTAGAGGAGGAGAATCAGAATCACTATTACTTTAAAGTGGTTATTCATCAGCATCAATCTCTTTTGTCAGCAGTCCCAGTTATATAGTAGTGACACTATCAGTCTATAGAAAAAGCTCAAAACTTAATTGTGTCAGGAACAAAAAGCAGTTATTATTATTTTTTTATTCAACCTGTCTACCCACAACTACACAAACATTTGCCATTTATCACCCATAATACTAGCAACTAACCTTTACAGCACAGTTAAGATTGAGAAGCAGCACAATTACGTTACAACAAATCATGTTACAAGATAATGTCAGGAGTGACCGTGCAACTCAATATAATATATAAAGCATCACATAATTATACAGTGCTTATTTATTAACGTGTAACGTTACTGTTAACGTTATAGTCACATTCATTTCATCAGCTGTTAGCAAGAAGACAGATATCACTTGATACAACACTTAAGAGGACAATGTTTTTTTTTTATAATATATGTGATAATGTTAAGTTTTAAATGCAAGTAATATCTCAGAAAATAGTGAAAATGAATAAATAATTTACAGACTGGCTAAATGAGAGTTGTCTATGTGGCCATTCCTAAGGGCCTTGCGAGGCTAACAGCGCGAGCTAACGTTATTGAAAGCGTATTTTTCCTTAATATATGCGAAACAGCTACAATATTGCCCATAACGAAAACATTGATGTGACACTTACCATGTTTGCGTTTGCTGTTTTTTGTCTCCTTCAGTTGCAGTATTTTATATCATCCACCGAGAGTCTGATGTGTTTTTCGGCTTCAGTTGTGTGCACGGCAAGCAAATGTGACGTGGAACTTCCTCAAAGCCAGTGCGCTTGACGTCGGAAGCGTTGACGTGACACTCGGACGGCTTCGGAGTTTTTCGGGTAATTTCGGTTAAACTCGGCATTTGAGTGACACTGTTTGATGACGTTGCCTTGCAATGAGTTTGAGCTTTCCTAAAGACTAGACTAACTACCTTTATTGTAGGCCTACGTAGCCTATGATTAATAATAACTAAACCAAAATGCTCAGTCAAACGTGTTATTATATTATAGCCTATGATAATAAATAATTTACAAATACAGTCTCTCTCAGCAATGATAGCATTAAGTCAAACTCAAAAGTAGCCTAATACACAATTTCGATTTTTTTTTTTCTCATTATGGTGAAAAACCCAAACTACTGTGTTTTCTCGGTTACCAAAGCAAATGTGCTTTTCAATTAACCCTGTAAAGCCTGACTTTTTTTTTTTTTTTTTTTTAATGAAACAGCCTCTAAACAATAAAAATCGAAACCAAAATTACATAGCCTATGTTTTTGTGTTGGTGTTTTTGAATATAATATTTGATACATCAAGCTTTTATATAAAAAAAATGGATTTCATAATATAAATAATAACTGAGCCAAAACTAAGCAAAAATATGCAATTTCGTACAGTTGCTGATATTTACATTAGCCTAATACATTCTGATTGCTTGTAATGTTAATCAGTGAGATCTTTATAATAGCAGACTACTTGAATCTAAATATCAGTTGTCATTTACATCCCAATAATATGTCCTCGTAAAGTGATATTGATCAAAGCTAGTTTTTATTTGTGTGGGGCAAAATATAATACAATCCAATACAATAATGATTGAGAGATCAAAAGCCCAGTGGATCATATTTGATGCTCACATTTTAACACTTTTTTAAATATATATATATATATATATATATGGATAAACCTAAGTTGATTTAGTCTAGTAAGTGTTCATCTTATACAAGTCTTGGGTTAAGTTATATATACAATAAATAAAATTCATATTGTCTCATTATCTTTATTTAGACAGAAGAAAACAAACTTGTTGACAGTGTCACATTGTGAGTCATTTTCATCTACTGAGAAAGCAGTGATGCCTAAAGTTAACACACAGCTTGATTTTAATAGACTTGTTGAGTAGCTAAATGAATGTGACATTGAATCACATGAGAATTCAGTCTTTTCTTTTATACACTTGTTGGCACACAGCATCCTCGCATGTCAACTCCTGCAAGTGAAATGATGAGGTCAATACCTTGTGTTGTAAGTACAGCAAAGCAGGACTTTTATGAAAGCATACAAGCATACACTTTACACTTCAAATGTCTTAATTATGTCATAAAAACAGAAATATTTATATGAAATAACGTTGCTTTTAACATTGTTTTGGTTAATATTATCCATTAAATGAGGATGCTCACCAGATAAAGTTTGTCATCTTCTATCCAGTGTTTCCATCCTCGGTTGGCTTTCTCACCTTTCTGGGTGGCCACCAATTTGTCACCTTCCCAGGTCACCAGAGTCTGAATATGTAGTCAAATCAGCAGTGTACAAATTGCAGTGTTAACAGTTATTAATTCCCAAAGAGTTAAATTAACAATCTATTTATTACACTGAAAGTGCAAAAAAAAATTGTTTGTTGTTAACATTAACAATTTGAGAACAAAGTATAATTTGCGCAGTTTTACGTGATATGATAAGCGATCGTTAGATTTAATCAGAGCGAATTACTGCTATGATTTTCTTCCCCTTAGTTGGTAAGAACCAGAACAAAAGTGGATGTTACTTGCATGTCCAGATGATATTTTCCGGTGAAAATTATTATGTTGGTCATACTTCCAAAAATAATCTGTGATTCTGAATTAGAGCCAGACCGATATATCGGTAGACTGATATTGTCGTCCGATATTAGGCATTTTCCAAACTATCGGTATCGACAGTTATAATGGCCGATAAATGAATATTTCGAAAATAAAATAAAAACGAATGAAACACGCTTGAACCATGTCATGAGTGTTGGAGTAATACATAGTACATAAAATACATACATAAAATAGTACATACACAAAATACATACATACATAGTAATACATAAAATAAATAAAACATCGGCCGATATATCGGAATATCGGATTTTAAAACCCAAAAATATTTGTATCGGTATCGGCCTTCAAAATCCTTTGTCGGTCGGGCTATTTTCTGAAT